CTGAGCTAGAAATTCTACCCCAATCCAATGCCTTAACCTGTAAACCTTGAAAAACCATGACTCAAGTATAACAGGTTTCAGAATGGTGGCCGTGTTAGTCTGGATCAGCAAAAACAACGAGGAGTCCTTGTGGCACATTAGAGACTAACAATTTTATTTGGGCATAAGCTTTCGTGGGCTAGCACCCACTTCATCAGTATAACAGATATACTGATGCATCCCTGAGTCAGCAGGCACTCTGTAACAATAGCTCAGAGGGGTGTTGATTTGAGAGTGGTCACCCCTTCAGGGCTTTGCTAGGGCAGTGGCAGCAGGTGTCCACACACAATTTGAGAGGGTAGATCTCCCCACCAGAGAGTTTGTCATTCATGCTGTCAAAGATATCTGAGTTGACACTGGTCACCTCCATCTAAATAGCAATTATCCCGATAAAGAAAAACTTTTAAAACATTAAAGATATCTGTATTTTTTTCCTTCGGCTTATAAGTCAAGTTAGTAGAAAATCAGGAATGAATGTCATAATAATTTTTTAAAATTCTGCTCGTTTTTCTTTTCTTTAAAATTTTTTAAATGTCATCAAAATCTTGACATTCAGAAAATTCCAATCAGCTGTAATAATTGGTCAATAAACAAACAAAATTCCAAACAGTTCCCCTTTTTTTTAAATTCAAAATTTTGTCAGAATTTCTAAATACAAAAAAATTCAAACCAGCGCTGCTTATAAGGGATGGAACAGGTGAACAGGAGACCCAGTTAATTACAAATAAATAGGGGGCCAGTTACTGAATCATTTACTAATTGTCAGGCTTCAAATGCAGCAGTTCAACATTAATGCAGGATGTAAACATGCAAGCAAGCTGGTAGGCTCAAAAGCAAGTCATGAGAACCAAGTACTGTCGAAGGAAAATCTTCATGTTACAGAAATTTGTGCAAAATCTCAGGCTTTTTTCAGCAGCCTCCTGTTTTAGGAGACTGCCTAAGTATTCCAAATGTACCGAGCACGGTTCTGCTCCACATCACACTGGTCAAACCACCTAAAGGTACCAGTTCCTTGAATGGCTGCTTAAGAAAGGTTTCACTGTCTGTTGTGAAATCAGGGCTTGAACTGGGCAGGAGCACGCATACCAGCACTCTCCTGAGCTGTCTTTTTAGGCTCCAAAATGTGGGCCTTATGGAGAAGAACACAAGCTTAAGGAGCCTAGCGGAGCCCAGGGGTATATTTGAACCCCAGTTAGGGGAGCCGAGCCCAGCAGAGTGTGCAAACCGTTTAAAAATCTCCACAATCCATCGTGAATGGCATCTCATTTTGATGTCTCAAGTGGGTTATTAATTTGTGGGAGGAGTTTGGAAGGGTCCTACCACCATTTTTTCCCCCAAGTTAGACCCCAGCCTCCCAAATGTATATATAAACATTAGGGGTTCTGGATATTTTGAGTGGCAAAAGAAAAGGCTCAGTGTGACCTGAGATAACATCTTCCATTGTTCATCGATACCAGTGCAGGTTTGTTTGCTCGACAGATTTCATGGCTGATGTGAGAGAGAAGAAATCAGACAGCAGAGGGACTAAGCAGCAGGAATAGAGGGAAAGAAGGGAACAGGGACACTCACCTGGAAAGAAAGGAAAAGGAGGAACCCACCCAGGAACAGAGAAAGGGAATAGATGCAGAAGAGCTAACCCTTCAATGAAAAGGAGCCCACTCAGCAAAGTTAGAGACCACAAGGAAACGGAATGGAGACCCATTCAGCAGAAGAAGAGAATGGGAACAAGGGGGCTCACCCAGCTATGGTGGGAGGGACATGGAAGGTGACTCACCCTGAACGCTCAGAATTAAGTTCTCCTCCACTTGCAGACTTCCCGTGTCATTGTACACGGTCACTTTGTAATTTCCACTGTCCTCTTCCACCAGGTGGTCTATTTTCAGGGTTCCATTGGGGAACTGTTCATACTTTTCCTTATCCTTGTAATATTTCACGACAGAACCTTTGCCTTTCGTGAGAGGTAATATATTTTTGAGCCATGATACTTCCTGTTGCTGTTCCACTTTGAAATCAGGAATGTTCAAGAAAACAGAATCATTCCGAATACCATACACTTTAGGGGCTTTGTCTGTAGACCCTTCAAAACAGAGGAAGAACAATACAGCCCAATTAGTGTCTGTCCAAAGCATCTATGGATGAGAGTTAACAGTAGACACTGCAGCATTAAATAACTTGGTCACAAAGTTAATCTCCCACTTTTCCCTTATTTCCCAAACCACTCCTCATTGATAAGGGTGGGCATTTATATAGCGGCTTTCATCTCAGACCCTCAGCGATTTCTGAAAAATTAGCCTCCTTTAATGTGTCTTGAGTTGAACACTGAAAATCATTAGTCACTTTTCAAAATCTTGGCGTAAGCAACTTGCCTGAGGTCACACAGTGAATGAGTGACAGAGGTGGGAGTAAGACCCAGAGGTCCTCCTTCCCGCATGGCTGTGACCACAGGATACACT